TCAGACTTCAAATAGTTTGCCACATTTGTTTTATTGTTCATAAATAAGTTACTTTGATCAGGATAGAGAGCCAAATTCTGCATTTTGGAGTAAAGAGATAAAATTACAAGAGAATCTCTAAGTACCTTTTTTTTTTTTTTTTTTTTCCCTAGTCATGAACTGCCATCGAATCAAGAAGTTCTGAGCAGTCTAATTTCCACCACAACAGAGCAGACAGACCTAGTACAGGTACTTACTGCTCTCACTGAAAAAAAATACTCCTGTCTCCTTAAAATGCATATATTCCAAATTCTCTAATTGCATAGCCCCCTAATAAGGCATGAAAGCAGTTTCTCAATCATAACTCTTAAAAGGGAAAGAAGCACAGCATCAACAGCGAAGCACAAAAATCAAACATCATCTCTGGACTAAACACTATTACATAAAGATACTGCATGTTACAAGTAGGTATTTTAAAAATTGAAATAGAAAATGATTTCTTATCGCAGAACTAGGTTACTGAAACAGATACACATTTTCTCTAGCATATAGACATTCAATTATTATACAATACAGATATAACTGGCATTCCAGAAAATGCAGGTATACAGAAAGAGATTACTGAAAATGCAAAACACATTCAGCTGTGTCTTCCAAACACCGGAGAAGGTAAGGCACCTAGCACATTCCAGATTATTACCTTTGCCACACCAAATTTCTGCTTGCCTGTAAGTTCACATATAAGCCATTTTTACACCATTCATATATTTGAAAGAAGTGAGTTCCAGCAAGTGGAGCTTGCTTGGAATGACCTTTCAGGAAATTGTTTTTAAAACAAAGCTTTTTTTTTTTTTTTCTTTGATCATGTACCAGAAAAATGCTGCAAAATTTCATGTACCACCAAACAGATTTTGAATAACTGTTTATCAAACTAGAACCATGAATACAAAGTACTTTTCCAGCAACATCATGATATAGACAGGAAAAGTATTAAGGACACAAGGTTAACTCAGCTTAGCTCAAAATGCTGTTGCATTTACAAATGTAAAAATTCTTTCATATATTTCATAGTTTCATATAAAATCATCACAAAAATGTCAACATGTGAAAGCACAGAGAGATCTTTTAACTCTTTTTTTTTGTGTGTGTGTGAGTGACACTGTTTTAGTACAGTTACTTCTCATCAATTACCTTAGTAGCTGCTACTTTCGCAAGTAGTTCCATTGGAGCTACTTGAACTTTGGGGGGGGGGGGGAGGAGAAAAAAAAAAGAAAAAAGAAAAAAAAACCCTTTATAACAATATATGCTATAAAAAGAAAACTGCAGCCTTACAGAATTTTGCAAAGGATGGCAGATGTGGTAGAAAAGTATGTATGCACTTGAAATACAAAATTAAAGACTTTTTTCTTTCTTTATTCTATCATATGAATCAAAATGTCACATATCCAGATTAATAAAATTAAGACATGTAATATCTGATTCATGCCTCAAGAAGGCATTGAAAAAAAGGGGGATATTGCCAAGTCAGAATTTAGTGACCATGCCATCTGAATCTAATTTCACATGTACCTTCATCTCTCTCACTCCATGAATGCCTGCTTCCCTTCACCTTGCTTAGAAGACAGTAAGGAAGGCGAACATTAAGAAAGGACCAAATTGCTTAGTATAGAAAACACCTTCAAAGACAAAGTCAAAGTTAGTGTTCATTTTCACAAGACAATATCGAAGAAGTTTGTGTCTCAGAAAAAAATGTAACAGTGAAATGCATTATTTCCTCGCTTACATTAAGCTGACGCATTTAACATTGAAGTCTTCTCTGATAATAAGTCCTATAAAAGCACAATTGATACACATGCCTTTCCCAAACATTCATTACATAACCTGACTGCTTCCTGCCATAATAGGCTGTTCTTGCTGTCCCGTTCAGCGGTGAAGCACTATGAACTTGCTGATCATGGAGACAGCCTGAGAATGTCTAGAACGTTTTGTGAAATGTTGATTTGAAAATACACTTACTTGAAAACCCAAAAGCCATAATACATTCCCCCATTTAAACCAACTAGTGTTCACTTTAGTGGTCAATGACATTTGAGGGAACTTGGCCTTTCAGCCCACTCCAGAAGCAGTCTTCCTATAGGAACTGTCACTTCCACAAAGAACATGCGGCCTAGGATACTGAAAACAAATGACATTACAGGACTCAAAAAAAGGATACATATAGAAGTAAGCTGGCATCTGTGGATAAGAACTGTTAGGGCCTGCTGCTGTAGCTGACCTTTCAAGTTGTTGTAGCAAAAGTAATGGATAGCAATAAATCAGTACAGAGGGACACTTTTTTTTGAAAGGCAGTTCCAGTTCAGCATAACTATGTTGGAGAGTACTTTATACAATGCCACTCAAGAAGATCTTGGAACAACCACGCAAACTGCCTTAGGAGGTCTTGAAAACCTCAAAATCTGCAATCTACAGAAGGCTTCTAATACTCATGGGAAGAAAGAGTATTGTATGCTGGTCGAACATGAATTTCAGAAAGAGAAAACACAACATAGGCCAGAACTTTCTAACTTTAGAATGAGTAGTGAAGGCTTTAGTCAGAAGGAAAACAATTAAAAACAGCCAATTTCACCTTGGAGAATTTTCTACAATTTTAGCAAGGTCCTAAATTGTTGATGGAGGATGGAATTGAGAGGAGAGCTCAGAAAAAGAGGCCTGAAACAAGATACATAGTCAAAGACAACTTGTGATGACGAGATGATGGTTTCACCTTGGAGAAGAGGAAAAAGGAAGGAGAAGCCAATTATGCTCTAAATAGCTAATCAGTTTGGTGGAAAATACTGCCTGTAATGAAGATTAATTTACAGCTTGAATACCAAAAACTTGAATCAAATCTAATGACTACTTAAATACTAGCAGAGAAAAATAGCATTTTCTCTTTTCCAAAGAACCATTTTAGGAACATAAAGAGCAGGATACTGTTAAGGTGGGAGTGGGGTTAGAAGAAAGCATAACAATGGAATTATGAAACTACATGAGACAACTTTCCTTTTGTGGAACTCCAAATAAAATAGAAGAAAAATCACTAAGCTTTTTTTTAGATCATAATTTTACTGTGTTATTAGTGCTATGGCATAAAGCCTCTGGAAACTAAGATGGATACTTGTAGTTCTCAATGTAAGTGTTCATACGCCTACACAATAACGTAATACAGAATATTAATCAAATTGCTGTATATTCATTAGTTACCATGTCAATAATATCAATTATTAACAGAGAATAAACCCCTTGGAGAAAAACAAATGCTAAAACATGCATAAGTAAATAATGTATTTAAAAACAGATGTATTAAAAAAAATCATAATATGTATTACAAAGTTAAAATCTGCATTTATAAAATTTGTAAATATATATTTTTTAATACAACTGATAATTCTATCATAAACAAGCATAGTTTTTATCTACTTGCTTAGGCTTCAAAAACCCATAGTCTAATATTACCTTAGGGATAGTAAACCTTGACTGAGTTGAATGAAGAATGAGAAGAAATGACTTGGAAATTTGTAAACATAAAAGGTAAATCTTTTCTAGGCCCAAATGTCATAGTATGTTACAATAAACACAACCATGATGTGAACTGGTTCCTGTGTTATGGCAAAGTATTCTTCTGTCCGACAACGAAGAGCAGGCCCCTCAAATTCATGAGCTCTACTGAAAAAAATAGTGTCATGTAAATTTGAACTTTTTGAACATTTTTGCATATTTCTGTCCTCACCTTGTGGTTTGAGATGTTTCATATCATCAAACAGTATTTTTGCTAAATTTGAAAATGCACTCCCAGAAAATCATTCTATTATTCTTATGAATTTCATGAGATTTGCTCATTTTTAATATTGAGAAGGTTATATAAAATTAGTACACAGGAAAAACAAAACATTTTATAAAAATCCATTTTTACTTTCTTTTTAGGCATTGATATAGAGCATGTATAGAGCAACTGTGTAGCTCTGTGTAGTATGCTCCTCTTACAAGAACGAACTGATTTCCCCAAGCTCTTACGCCTCTCTCTGTTACACTATTTATACAGATGCTTATATATTTACAATAAACTTTAATTGATACAATAACAGTCAGATATCCACAAAATACTGTTGAAGATGGTGGAATATTTCAAGTGGATTTTTGCTGTGTTTAGGTCTAATTTGCCACAGGAAAGTTACAGTGATAAACAAACTATTATTTTCCCATTTTTAGGACAATTATTGCTAATGGAAGTTGCTAAGTAACTGTTACTATGTAAAAGTACTTACTTAGAATGCTACTAGAAAATCAGTGGCTTGAAAAAATTTATCACAGCTAATAAAAATTATAATCACAGATATTATTCTGATTCATAAATTATACTCAAATCAAATGAAGATATTTTCAAAAACGAGTCAGGTTTACACTGTTCAGATACTCATTAATAATTATTGTGACTTCAAGTACCATTGTGCCTTTAACAATCAAGCAATGTGAAGCTGTAAAGGTACATGTTACATGTGAGGAATTACATAAAATTCATACATTAACTTTTCTACTTTTATGCAAGATATCTGTGAAAGAAGAACAGGTTTTCTAATAGATGAATTAGTCTATTTACATGTTTTATTACATGTTGTCTCCAGGACTACAGGAAATGACAGTCACTAAAGGAGTATGCGCTAAGCTGCTCTATGATTCCTCCTCCTCTGGGCTACACTATTCTTGAATTTTTGCTAAGTGGGTTTAAATGTCATAAAATACCTTGGATCCCAACAAAGAAGGAGTTGCATTGTTTGTTGCTTGTTTTTGAATATCTACGTTTACGGTTACGCTCAATCACATAAGGTGAACAACTGATTATTTAGTCCATTCATATTTTCTCCAAACAAATGTAAAAGATCTGAAACTAAAACCATGAAGCTTTTTGTATTGCATGCACAGATAACGACACGTATGGGATAAAGAGATAGTCTATGTGTATATGTGTATTTGCACATCCATACCTGAGCATTAAGAAGTTCTTCACATTTGTGAGAGTGTTTTTCAATTGTCAGTATATACTGCTTTTCAATAGCTGCTTCTCGCTGTTGAACTGTAGACTGCAGCAATGCCTGCAAAAAGAAAGCACAGAAAAACTCAATAAAAATTTAACTGGTGTGTTTATCAGAAACTGGAAATCAGCTATATACTTGTATATAATCAGAACACAGAACGCTGTTATAAATTCAGAAAGTACTACCGAAATAACTTTCTAGGTAACACCACTTTGTTTTTAGATTTATATCTTCTTATAGCCAGGATTAAAACTTTTTGGATCTCAGATTTCCTACCTATAGTCTCTTTAAAAAGAGCAATTCACAGAAGATAGAGAGTATTTCTGTTAAATATACTCAGTTTAGTGAGACCACACAAGAAGAGAAGCATGAGAGCTGCTGAAGAGAGGGGAAAAAAAAAAAAAAAGCCAGACATATTTCACTGGCTGACAAAACTCCACATCCTCTCGGCACACTGTAGGATCCCATGGGCCAAGCATGATCTTCATGACCACAAGTCAAGTAAAAGCAGATGGAAATTCTGAGCAATTTAAAACATATAAGATCTCCCCCCTAGGAAGTTCACACTTGAATGTGAAGCAGTGGAAGCCAAAACGTGGAAAGTTAAAGTACCAAGACAGTAGCAAGAAGAATATAAAATTAGAAATTTTGTGTACATGCATGCATGTGTTTGTGCACATGTGTACAGGCATACATGTACCTGACAACACTGAAGAAATTACAGCATCTACATGCATTAAAAAAAACCATCGAATATATGAAAAAAACAAATCACCATATAAAAGGAATTGCAATCTGATTTTCTTAAAATAATCCTAATATTTTTGTCCAGGAGTTTCTTAGCTAATGTGCTATGCAAGTTTCCCCCTCTCCCAATATTATAAAATATTTATGTCACTTTCTAAAATTCACTGGACTATTCATATGCACTATAGCAAACTATTTTTAACTAAAACTGAACATAGCAAACTAGTTGAAATTACTGTGCAAGTTAAAACAGACATTAAATTTTATAGAAAACAGACCGTTGGCCCAAATAGAAAAAACAACAACAATGCCAAATTATATAAAAAGTCCCATCTTTTAAATAATCTTTGTTTTGCAGATATACTTATTTGATGGAACATAACACATAGAAAATGGATTTTTGAGGAAAAAAATACATAGAAATGACTTTTGCCAGTTTTTGAACTATCTTCCCACATTTTCCACTACTTAGCCTGTTTTGCCAGAATAAGGGTTCTTCAGGATACCATTGGTGCTACAGCACAGCTGTATTTTCAACACAGGCTCAGAAAGGTTTGAAAGTTAACACAGATCAACTTTAATTGAAGAACAGGTTTGCTGGCCTTTGCTGGGTATTTAACTAGTCACAAGCTTACTTTCATATAAGCCAATTTCTTTCATACTATTTTTAGATCTTGTATCATATAAATTCAGACAATCACTAAAATTTAATTTGCAAAGGAGTATAATTTCGACATGTGAAGCTGAATTCTACTATTTGTACACTGGAAACTGCCAGGTATCACTGGCAAAAAAAACTCTCTACTTTATGGAGAAAAAAAAAAAAGAAAAAGAAATTCAATCTAGTGTGACCAGAATAGTTCCACTATTAAAAAAAAAAAAAGCACAAAAGGAAAAACATTCTGCTATCAGCCCAGAAAAACAGTAATAGAACAGTTACTAAGTTGCAATGTAGTTTCTTAAATTGTTTCTTCTTGCTCACATCAAGCCACAGACTTTATTATGTGAGCTTAACTAGTGACTGTTATATTCCTATTAAATAGTAGCAAGAACTTTCTGCTTTGTAGGGAATAAGTACTAACCATTAAATGGGATAGGTGATTAAAACTTGTCCTTTATTTTAATATATATTTTTTCATCATCTAAACCACTAACACTGCTCAAACAGTAACATAAAATTGACCCTGTGTTTGAGTATTCCACTAGATGATACAGAGATAAATTACGATCTGTCACACACATCTGGCTTCCATCGTGTGCCATGAAAGCTAGCTAGACATAAGCCTTTATTTTCTATGGAGAGATGCAGACCAATCAGAGACAGGCAGTTAAAATACAGAATATACAGAGTGAAAATAATGTATTTTGATGGAGCTCCAAATCTTAAGGGACTTAAAACAAAATCATTTTGTATAAAATAATATTTCCTCTTTCAAGGATAATTTCAAGATCTCTGGTCCTATGATTTTAAGACATGCTTTAGAATCAAACACCACCACCAAATTAACTGTTTTTATTTATTATTTTATTATGCATTAAAGCATAGACATTTTTATTATCATGAGGGAAAATGCATTTGTGAATAAGCTTTTATGCTCGGAACTGATGATAGTTACCAATACCAAAAGATAAGAAGCTTCTATAAAATATAAATTCTACCCTCAAGTATGAGAAGTGTCACAGAATACTGGCACTGCTTGACAAATATAGCTGTATCTTGCCCTTTAAACCCTTTTATTATTCTTCATTTTTTATTATTAAATCCATATCCCAAACTTTATATAAATTATCAAAAAGAAAACTTTTTAAAAATATGTCAGATTTAACATAATTTCATTTGATTCTTATTTACTTATTTACTAGGTGCCTAGCCTACATCTGTCTGTCTCTAGTTGACAACAGAAAATGGGGATGCCATGAGAGATGCCTGAACATAATGATGCCATAAAAGATTATCTTACCAAATAATAAAAAATAGGATATTTTACTCTTTAAGGTCTCTGGGTGTGGTCAACACAATAGAGACATGCGGTAACCAATGCTTTGGAGAATTTCAGACTGATCAACTACTTATGTTATTAAAGAGTTGCATCCATTTGTCTATTCAGTGATAGCATGTGCTCTTAACATGCTTTATTCAGTACAAGGAAACAGAACTGGTACTCTGGGCAGCTACTTGTGACTGCTCAAACATCACTTCTCAAACTAGTAACACATTATCCAAATGGGCTCATTGATGTTGCATAAATCTGTGGTCACTGATCTAATATCAACACGGTATTCCTGAAGCAACAGCCATTCTTCAATAGATTGTGGGTGAAAGAGCCCTAGAACTGGCTGCCCAGAGAAGTCATGGAGTCTCCTCCTTCTCTGGAGATCTTCCAGTTCTGCCTGGATGCGACCCTGTGCCACGTGCTCTAGGTGTCCCAGCTTGAGCACAGGGGTTGGTCAAGAGGGTCCCTTCCAATCTCAACCATTCTGTGATCTGTTTGAATAAGATTAGAGCAGAATGTAACATATGGTATCTCTAACATAAAGTCCAGGAATGAGATTACAATATAGGTATTCTTGGCAATCTCCTTCTCTATCACTACACCGCACAAAGGATCAACTTGTACCAACAACCGATTTCAGGACTATGATGACACGGGTCATCAGTCTCTGTTGTGCATATGTTGCTATACTCCTACCATATTTATTATCTAAAACAATGCTTGTGATAGTAGTACTTGTAGAAGTAGCGATAGTTTTAGTTCCTTGGGATTTCTTCACATAAGTCAAATGTGCTCTCCTCATTTTCAGTTTTCATAGAATCATAGAACCCTTAAGGTTGGAAGGTACCTCCAGAGGTCATCTAGTCCAATCCCCCTGCACACGCAGGGTCACCTAGAGCACGTGGCACAGGACTGCATCCAAGCAGGTTTTGAAGATCTCCAGAGAAGGAGACTCAACAGCCTCTCTGGGCAACCTGTTCCAGGGCTCTGTCACCCTCACTGTCAAGAAAATTTTTCCTTAGGTTCCTGTGGAACTTTTGGTGCTTCAGTTTGTGACCATTACCTCTAGTTCTATCAGTGGCCACCACTGAAAAGTGGCCAGCACCATCCTCTACACTGCCTTCCTTGAGGTACTTATAGACACTGATTAGATCCCCTCTCAGCCTTCTCTTCAGGCCGAACAGGCCCAGCTCCCTCAGCCTCTCCTCGTAGGGCAGATGTTCCAGGCACGCTCTTCTTAATGGATCCCAGGATCCCATTGGCCTTCTTGGCTATGAGGGCACACTGCTGCCTCATGGTCAACTTGTCGTCCACCATGACACCCAGGTCCTTCTCTGCAGAGCTGCTCACAGTCCTAGTTAGACTTTCCCTAACTTTAACAAAAACTGAGCTTGTACTTCAGACCCAGGCAAACAGTGGTACTGTTCAGGGTGTTACTTGATTTTTTTTTTGCCTGTGGCTCTCAAAAGATCTTTTCCCTCAACTCACAAAAGTTATTGTATCTAAAGACTCCACAGTCCTTTACGGAACTACTTTAAAACACTTTATTTAAAACTAGAAGCCATGTGTGAAGGCAACCTCTATTCACCATAGAAATAGTTTTGATCATAACTTCTAACTGCTTTTTGAAATGATGCTTTTTCACTAAACAAAACAGACTTTACAAGGACTATGCACTGAATAATCAAAGTATATTTATGTACCTTGAGAATCACATCTTTACTCAGACTTCTGAAATTAAAACAATAATATCACCACTACAGTTCCAAGTAACAAGCAATCATCTATGTTTGTTTCAATTTACTTTGAATCTTATATTCTTGGCCTTTTAACATTTTCTTCTTCCTGGTATCACATTATTTTACCATGACTAAAACAAACAAACACACACAACCAAAAAAGAAATGCCAAAAGAATGAGAAAACCAAGGATTAATGTCAAACTGATAACATTGTACTAGATTTGATTCAGAGGCATCATTCATTTCCAGCTTGACACAATCTTCTTAGCTAGTTTAAGATTTAATTCATCCAAGTTTTAAGTCTCAGAGTTCGATCTATAAATACCTTGGTTTGCAAATCAGAAAAAGATATGTAGGATGTAGGATGTAGGATATGTATGTTTTGTCTTGTTTTTAAAAAAACTCCGATTAACATTCCAGTTATTCAAATGTATTTACATTTTGTATGTAAGAAGAAAATGTCTTCTCTTAAACAACCCGAAGGGAGAAGTTATAGGGGGAGGGAAGGAAAGAAGGGTAGGAGACTGCCATCTGCAGCTTGAAACATAATGAAGTCATAAAAAAGTCCAAAGAAA